GGGAGGAAGAGAGGGAGGGAGGGAAGAAGGGAAGGGAGAAGGAAGAAAAAGAAGGATGGGAGGGTGAGAGTGAGAAGGAAGGAGGGAAGGAAGGAGGAAGAACAAGATGGAGGGAGGAAGAGAGGGAGGGAGGGAAGAAGGGAAGGGAGAAGGAAGAAAAAGAAAGGTGGGAGGGCGAGAGTGAGAAGGAAGGAGGGAGGGATGGAGGAAATTCAAGATGGGAGGGAGGGAGAGAGGTAAGGGGGAAGAAGGGAGGGAGGGAGAGATTAAGTAAAAAGGAAGGATAGAGAGAGAAAAAAGAAGGGATGCCAGGTTAAGGAGGAATATAAACGACGAAGCTCAAAAACTACCTACCAACTACCTCTCAAACCCCCTCAACAAAGCTTTATAACGCAGAATTCTAACGAAACGGCAATACTCACAAATGATTTCGATAAGGTCCGCAAACACAACTCCGCTCTGCAGGTCACGTCGCAGGTCGGAGATAAGCGGCCGACCTCGCTTCCGCAGCTGAGAGTTGACCCAAGCCACGTAGGCCTGCAAATAGAGGACATGGTACAATTTTGGTCGCAAGAATCTTTTTCTTTATGTGTTTTTTTTGTGATGATGTCTTGATGAAATTGCTTTGGGCATATTCTAAAATCTTTGTTTTGCATAAGGTGTGTTTTTGTTAGATGATCACATCTTTTTGTTAGTATTCTAAATAAGAGGAAAGGTTTGTTGTAGAAAGGTATCTGTGACACGGAGGCAAAGGCGGAACCAATGGCCCAGCGTTGCGGAGCGGCGCGATCCTCACCTGCAGCTGCTGCGTCCACTCCATCCACGACACCGAGGAGGAGGTGGAGGGGCACCCGTCCCCCCTCCTCTCCGGCTGCGCTCGGGCGGAGGGAGGCCTCTGCCCCCGGTGCTCGTCCGCCACCTGGAGGCCGTCGGCGCCGTCAGCGTTCCTGTCCCTGCGCTCGTAGGCGGAGGCGGCGGGCGTGTCCCTGACGCGGAGGGCGTCGCCGCGGCTGAGCCTCGCCTCCTTGGCCGGGTCGACGCCGCGCTCGCTCGCGTACTGGCGGGAGTCCCTGCGGCCGCGGAGCCTCTCCTGCAGGCGGGGGTCCAGGTCGTCCTCGAGGTCGTCTGTGTCGTCGACGGAGAGCTCGCGGAACCCCCTGTCGTCCCGCACCTCCAGGTAGCTCCCCCTTGGGTCGCGGGAGTCCCTGAAGTCCCTGGGGAGGCTCGTTTCTCTGAAGCCCCGCAGCCTCACGTTGTCCCTCGAAGTTCTCGCTTCCTGCGACTCCCTCAGGTCCTTCCGCGACTCCCGGGCGTCCCTCGGCTCCCTCAGCTCTCGCAGGTCACGTGACAGTCTGTTGCCGCCGCGGTCGTCCTTGGCGCGGGCGTCGGGGATCTCGGCGTAGCGCGGCTGCGCGTCCGGGTACACGCTGTCGGAGAGGAGGGCCTCCTCGGGGGACGCCGCCCTCGGGGTCCGAGGGGCGTGGAGTGGTGCTGCGGCCCCCCGAGGCTGAGCGGCGAGGCCCCCCCGGGGGAGGCGTGCGGCGAGCCGTGGGCGCGCCGGCGGCCGGCGACGCAGGGCTGCCTCGCCGGCCGGATGGTCGGGTACTGCACGGGGAGGAGGACGCCGAGGACGAGGTGGAGGTGGCGGCGGAGGCCATGGACACCGGCGACGTCCGTGAGGCGTTGAGCAGGTCCTCGGTGGACTGGGAGTACGTGGCCTCGTCGGCGGGGAGAGGGCACGCCCCGCGGCCGGCGCGACACCCGAGGGAGTCCAGGGAGCGCGGCCCCCCGCCGTCGCCGGCGCCTGGGGGCGTGAGCGAGTCGAAGCCCGAGTCGAGCTCCCTGGAGGGCCAGTGCCATGCCTCGTAGGACCCCCGCGGGAGGGACGCGGTCTTGGCGTCCTCGGCCGCCCTCTCGTCGCGGGGGGAAGTCCGTCGCGTTCCTTCGTTCCCACGACTCGCGGATATCTCGGAAATTGCGTCCGTCCTGCGCGTGGTCGCGGGCGTCCTGCTGGCCGCGGAAGTCTCTCGCGTCCCACTGGAGGTCGCCGGCGTCCCTGGGGTCCCTGGCGTCCCTGGGGTCTCTGGGGTCCCTCAGCTCCCGCTCGCGCCCCTCCCGGGGCTCCCGCGCGTCCATCTTGGGCGGCGGCGGCGGCTGGTAGGGCCCCCGACTCGCCCTCCTGCTGGAGGCGGGGTCGGGGGCTGGTGGCGGGCGTAGGGCGGGGGCTGGTGCTGGGCGGGGGGCTGGTAGGGCTGCCTGGAGGCGGGGGGGGTTGGAGGGCGAGCGGAAGCGGGCGCCGGGCTCCTCTCTCGCGAAGCCGCGCGGGGAAGCGTGCACGTGCCCGGCGCCTGCGGGGGGCGTTGCTCCTCCTGGCCGGGGCACGGGCGGCAGGGGCGGCTGCGGGTGCTGCGACATGGACTGCAGGGCCGGGCCGTGGGGGGGCACGGGCGGCGGGGGGTGCGACGGGGGCGGGGGTGGGCGGGACGACGGCAGCGGGGGC